TCCTGATTGTGTACATCATACAAAATTGCTTAGAAGTGAATTGTTATTCAACATAGATAGAACTAGATGATATATCTTATTATCAGAATGTTAATTGATAATGCCTGTGAATTGAGGCTGGAAAGGATTGCCCAGGACAGGGTTGGATGGAGAATGCTGGTGAGCGGCCTATGCTCCTTCACAAGGATTAGCAGGCGTAGGTAAGTAAGTAAGTGTGAATTAAGGCAGTATCGAGGCAATACGCAAAGTATGCACATATACCAATAACAGACTGATCAATTGAAATGCTAAACATCAATGGGAAGATACAAATAAAGAGTACCAAGTGAATTTAAACTTCACCCTATTGGAAAAGTAAGTGGCTATCAGGACTCAGTGGCCAAGTGGATAAGGTGATGACATTTGAAGTAGACAATACTAAATTCGAATCCCGAAGTGGACATCAACTCTGACATGGAGGTACATCCAACTGACGAGCCCCAAATAGAATGAAACATGTGTCCTGGACTCTACTGCTAGTCGCTATGCATCTTTGCTTAAAATCTAGCACAGTCTGTTCAACGCCATCATTTTTAATAAACGGTAACAAAAGGTGAATTTTTCTCCATCATTGTGAATGATTTGAATACCTAGAGTTATTTCTACAGATTGTCATACATGGTATTTGAATTTCCCATAAAATTCTTGATTATGATTGGTTCATCCCCATAATGTACTTGTAACGAGTCTTTTTATTCATTCTAACATTTTCAACTTTCATACAAGAAAACTACATCACTTTACATGTAAATAGAAAAATAAAAGCATAAAGAATCTGTTAACCAAAATACTTGTACTATCTTATCATTATAAGTCAATATTAATGTGACTATGGACATTGAATAACCCTATATGTTGTTGTTACATTACAAACCGATAATTCGAACACTATTTCCTTCTAAAACTACTGAATATATGTGCAATCTTATTTACCGTTTCACTAAACATTAATCTTATTCAACTATGTATTATTGTATTGTTTTACATATTACAATGATTAATTTTCAACCATTTTCTTGTGTACACATATTTCTGTACAAATAATGATATCGTGAAAGAGATTGGTTTAGTTTCTGATAGTAACAGAATATAATTCTACTGAGCTACTTTGTATACTTTTCTTATGTGAATTCACATATGATAGGTTTTGGAATATAAAAGTGAATCCCTGAATAAGATATTTAGAAACTAGGCTAAGGATGAAAACACTTCTTCCAGTTAATGTAGACACCATGTAAATATCTAGAAAATTAATGAATTATATATCAGACTCTGATTGAATGATTGTTTGCTCGGTTATTCAATTTAATGTGTTGGTGGAGAAGATTTGTAGCTCAGATGGACGATTTGAGTGGAGTTTTGTTCTCCGAGCTGGATGGTTTGATCGTGGAGCATTCATTGTTCTTCTGAACGACATCGTCAGCAGAAACTTCAGGTAGAAGTGAAGTGTTCGAATTTCTCTACATTTGGTTTACAACTTTTCCTGTACACCACGATGTTGATTGGTTGAGAGGTTCAAATTCACTTCTACCTAAGGTTTGTGCTGATGATGTCGTTCAGAAGAACGACGATAGCTCCACGACCAAACCATCCAGCTAAGAGAACAAAACTCCACCAAAATTTAATGTGTTTCTAGAAGCTGTTGAAGTTTAACAGTTATCAATGCACCTCTAGATAAGTTTATTTTCTGTAGTGATGTGAACCTCAGAGTAAAGATTTTATTCATATTTTACTCTTTTACTTGATTGTTCGAGTCAAAGTGTAGAATTTGTCTACAGTTATAGGAAGCAACTAAAAAGTCAGTAAAAAGCGGTGAGACTATAATTTATGGATAACCTTTGAGCGACACTGAAGTGACCGTGAGAGTGGAGACCTACTGATTAGGACTGAATGAGGGCTATAAAGCAGTTAGAATTCTCATTTAAAGTTAGGGTTAAAAATTAGATTTAGCGTTTTCATCACGAACTGACATCAGCTATAATGCCAAAACTCTTGCCGTAATAAGCATTCAAGTAAAAGACTTATCATTAAAGTTTAAGAAAACCCTGGTAATATTTCGACCAATCAGTGTCCGTTAAAAACTTCTAGAAGAATACTAGACAAGGGTGGATTATGTTTTCATTATTCTAACTGAACCTTTACTGGATTTATCATCAATGTTATCATATCTTCTTCAGAAGATTCTACAAACTCAAAGTCTCGTCAATACCCATTTTTTCTTTATAGAAAGTAACCTTTCAATACAAACTCCTTCCATAAATCGCGTCGTTTATTTCCTGTTCTGCATTCAATATAGGACGACTTCTTGGGGAGGAGGAATTTGGAAGACGTTAGGAGGTTAGTTTCCGAACGTTCAAGTGTGAGAGTTATCAAGAACTATAATAACAATTGAAGCTTTTGGGTATACATAGTTGAGGATTTATAAAGTGGGATGAAAAACCTGCCTAGTTCTGTCATGTTTTCATTTCAAAAATGCAACTTTACACATAACCACCCAACTAAACCAGTATTTTTTTCAGGAAGCGATAAAACTCGATATGGTGTTTTTATTAGGTTCAACATTCGTTCCGTATGAGGTGTCATAATACCTAACTAATCAATCTTTCAGTGTCACTACATTCTGTATAAAAATGTGAATGAACAGATTCTTTTCTACCTGCCGTCAATCATTGTCTTAAGCCCTGAGTCGTGAAAATGCCAGCTCTTCAATTCTTAAGACTAGTTTATCACAGTTATAACATTTATTTAATCAACCATGTTATCAATAGTCCGTTTGTAACTTTACTAACTACGATCTTGTGTAATGTAGATCCAAATACTTCAAGAAAATATCGATTTACTTAAATGTCATAGATGCATCTTACTAATAAGTGCAAAACAAGCATAAAAATATACTTCAAAGTTCTATTCACGATGGACACTAGTTGATCTATGTTATTAAGAAGTTATTTTGGTTGATAGCGATAATTCATATACACAATTCATATACATTACAACTACTGTAGTGAACGACAACACAAGTGAGTACAACCAAATGTATTCTAATACAATATTACATTATATCTTGGTTAATTCTGAGGATCATACAGAATTACGTCATCTGAGAGATATTCATCAATAGTCTCAGACTTCGTTTCCACACCAATCACTTTCTGTTCTCGTTCTTTTCTCTTCGATTTTCTAAACCTTCTGCCACCAGGTTTTTCACTTTTGACTGATGTATACATACTATTTATGTTTGTTGACATCAGTAGCACACACCATACTACAACTGTAGATTAGAACATGAAGAATTTGTTATTAAGCTAAGAATTTATAAGCACAGTCAGCTTTACAAATCAATGATATATATATGATAATTAACTTGTGTATTTTACAGCATGAAATTCCTTAGTTAGATGACCATTGTAAACAAAGAAGCAATGGACAGGTGCTTCAGTCTAGTTTGGGGCTATTTAGCAGGACGCATCCATGACCCCACCGAAGATCTATCTCGAAACTCTCATGTATTGTGGGGAGCGCAGTCCAAGTGCTAATCGCTTGCTTTGAGTCATGAAGGGTCTGTTTCCGATTAATAGATAGATTAATGAATGTTTCCTTCTGGAGAGTCTTATGTTAGAATAAAACAACTTTCGAGTGCTTTCCGATTTTCGAAAGTTATCCAACTATGTAAACTACAAAACTCAGCAATCCCCCTCAAACCCCTCACACTAATTACGTTCTATCAAATAAGTCTCAATATTTAATTTAAGTTTTCTCTGAATGATTCTGTCTCACTATCTTTAAGTCCATTCAAAAAAGATGAATTGATGATAAAGCCTATTTTATTGTCAATACTCATCATAGACTGACTGATCTTACTCGAGGTACCATTTGGAGCTAAAGAGAGCTGATTAGTTTTTTCGTTTCAATATGGAGCTGGAACAACCTCATCAAGGAATGAGTATGGTATTAAGTGGTTTTTACGCTATATTACAGGCTTTTTGAAGTTGAATAGGCACAGTAAGATGATGACACCATGGCTCTAATAGATAGACCTAAAAGTCCTTTTTTCAATTGTTATCGTGTTGTTGGTCAACACAACTGAAAAGTCTCATAATAAAACGAAACATTCATTCAGTTTCCTCTGATTTCCAATGGTGCTTAAACGTTTGATGAATACAACCTATACATTTAATCAATCTTTTAGATGGTGGTTGGAGGTAAGAGGTCAATCACGGCTCGGATAGCTCAGTGGTAACGTCTCTGACTGTGAAGCTGGGTGAAACGAGGTCGAATTCGCCAGTTCCCTCAAGATTACAGGTACACCTTGCTGACGAGTGCCAAGTAGCACGAAACCCGGGTCCAGGGTTTCTTGTTGACTACCTCCAACCACCATCTAATCTCATTACATAGTGCCCGCAGTGTCGAGTCACCTAGACTGGTGGCCACATTGTAACATGATCGATAGCATTCGATCTGCACTAATAAGAACTAGACAAGCATGACATTGATCACCACCCAGTGATCAATCAATTGTGATTTAATCAATCTTCACATAATCTTATCAAATAAAATCTATTTGTATGCTAAATTCTTTGTAACGTTTTTTTCTCTCTTTTGAATCGATGACATTATTAGGAAAACTAAATGAACTCATATATCACATCATAAATAATGATGTATATATATATTTAACCAAAATAAATAACACTTTGAAGATATAATCTTTAAGCTTTTCTTTACCTCCCACATTATATGTTGAAATTGACCGCTCGTTATCTATTGAATATTTCATTAGATTAGACGACATGTTACATAACACGTCTGTAGGCATTGAAATAATAGGACTCAAATAAAATCCCCGTCGCTGAACATAACATGGCAACTACCTTTGTTGGTTGTGTTTGTCGTTCTGATCTCTCTCTCTCTATATATATATATATCTGTATTTTGAGACAAAGTAAATATGACATTCTAAGCAAACATCTGATTGGTTAAATCCAAACTTTGATTATTTATCTCTGATTGGTTCATATATGTCTATTCAACTAGTTTTCGGCCCATTGATTATTGTTAAAATTAACCAATAAGAATGATTTTATGTAGGTTGCTATACAAATTAACCATCACTTTAAAAGTTTTTTAAAAAAATTTAAAAAAAACAGTATGTTTTACACGTGGCATTGGAATAAACAAACCACATTTTTATACGTATTGAATTAGTGTAGTTATTCACTTATTTCAAGAAGATTATCACATTTTGTATTATTGAGAATTTGATCAGAACCGGAATATAAATCTAACTGTGCTGGTATCCAGGACTTTCATCATCATTATCACCATCATCATACATATACATAACCAATGGCTGAATTTCGTAAATGTTTTGAAAACTTAGATACTGAGAAACGTGGTGTAATTACAATTGAAGATTTAAAAAATTATATGTATAAAATGCATTATAAAGAAACATTCTTACATAAATGGATTGAATTATTTGATCCTGAACATACAGGATTTATTACTTATGAACAATATTGTAAAACACTTGGTTTAATACCACGTAAACGTACATTTAGTAAAAATTTAACAGATTCTACATTATTATCATCATCAGTATCATCATCATCATCATTGTCTATTTCATCAAAACAAGATAATGTCAATGAAGCATTCATTGGTAGTTTTGATAAAAATGTAAACGAGACTAATATTACTACAATCATTCAACAGTAAGTAGTACTTTATATTATTCACAATTTTATTTTATGATTGTAATGAGATTTGTTTATGAACGCTTATGTAATAACAAATAACACGAATTCCATAACGTTGCTTTAAAGAGTGATATCCTAACTTTCAATATCCAATGGAAAACACAATCATTTGTATTGAGAAATCTGTGTGCTATTGAAAACTCTACTTGATTTGTATCAGTAGGCGGTTATTTGGTTATTATAGTAATTTCATTGATGCTGAGGAGACCCAAAATAGGACGAAATGGCCGTCCAATGCTTCCAAGTTTTCCATGTTGGTCTAGCTTTAATTGACTCATGATCTTAACTAATGAAATCTTGACTTATTAAAGATTCCTTCTATACTAAATAAAATGACTAAAACTACCAGACCACTTTACTGAATGTTGTGTCTTTAGTGTATAATTCTGGCTTTCCAACTTTTAGTAAATGATATTTTAACTCAGTTAAATCTGTTTTATGGAGATTAGCTTAGGTTATCAATTGTATTTGTCACAAACTGATCTTAATTGAGATTCCATTGACATCAGGGAGCAATGAAAAATTGCCTGATCATGATATTGAGCGTCCCTATTTTTGGAAACTCACAATCTCATTTTGAAGTTAACACACTGTTTTTAAGTCTCTCAGCTTACAATTAGCCATTCAAACCACTGGTTCGACTGCTGTTGGTACAATCTCAATTTGTAATAGTTAAGCATTTTCAGTAAGATTCGAAGGTCATTGATAAGAACAGCTTAAGAATTCCATACTAAGACATGATCCTATTTCTATCGACCTTACATTTTCTGTGTTAGTCTGTGGAGGTCTTACTATCATTCTAGACGATATGACTAGCACTTATTTGAAGTAGAGATGTGAACTTTCAGATCCATAAAAAGTCTTACTGGTCAACTGTGGCTAGTAAATTTTAACTATGTTGAGTGTGAAGTAGTTACGTGCCAGTTGTACCGATTGGTCCAGGGATATCTGAACGTAGTATCTAAGTGTATAACTCAAAGGCGTTTGCAGCGAATAGTACTGGGTTTGAGTCTCGAAGTAAACTTCAAATTTGGGATGGAGGTACATTCAGCTGATAAGTCCAGGTGATATAACAAGAGTGACAACTAAGAATCATTTTCTTATTGTGTTGCTAAGTGATAATTAACATTATAATCAATTGATTCACCTGTACTTCAAACGATTTTTTGTTTTTGGTCATATGATTTTCTATTTGTATAGTATAATTTATTTGTTACTCAATCAACAAAATTCACTTCAGTTTAGTCATGACTATTTCAAAAGAAAGAAAGGAATTTTTAATTATCAATTTTTCTTTCTTTTTTTTTTGGTGTCTAGATTTGCATGTTTTTTCAATGGTATTTAGTGAAGTTTAGTTTATTATACAATCAATAGATTGATAGTGTAATGACATAATAAGTAACTAATTTTTATATTGATGAGCATTTATGAATAAAATAATGAGAATATAAGACATAAGTAAAGGGGGAATGCAACAATAATAACAATAATAATTGTAATAATAGGATAATCAAAGTAATTAACGCCAAGGTAACGATAAATGGTTACCCAGAACGTTTCATAGAGAAGAATATGAAAAAAAGTAGTTGTGACAAGAAACCAAGTTGTTCCGTCCCGAAGAAAAACCTTTATATAAGTCTGGAATTTAAAGGTGATCGAACATCAGACGTAATCAAAAATTGTCTAACAACAACGATTAGAAGAACATTTAACGCGGCTAAACGGCGAATAACCTTCACTAGTAAGAACTTATTTTCTGTTTCCATAAAAGATAAGCTTTCGCGTCTGGTCGCCTCTATTTGCATCTACCAGTTCACCTGCTCTTTTAGAGCAAGGTACATTAGCCGTAGCCAGCGCTTGCTTTCAACTTGGATACGGGAACATATAACAGCTTGGTTCTATAAGAGTGAAAGGAAAGCAGTTAGGAGGTCTATACTTGAACACCTAATCGACGGTAACCATTCTACAGATCCACAAAGGTTCATATGATTCGTTCAAATCTACCCAGATTTCTTCGTATCCAACTCTTAAAAATAGCCGAAGCTCTTACCATCCAGGAGCTTACATCAGAACTATGCGTACAAAAGAAGTACGTCTTATCGTTATCGTTACCTTGGCCTCAATTATTTTGATTATCTTATTATTATTATTATTGTTATTATTATACTCTCATTATTTTATTTGTAAATGCTCATCATATCACCTTATTTATTTCTTACACCTCTATGACCTTTAACTATTATAACAAAAACTAATTTTATATTGTTTGTTTGGAACTTCTCATTGATGTTTAAGACTGTAATTGATCTATCTCTTATTGGCATATATGTATCCTGCCTTCAGCTACTAGGATTATAAGCAAAGATGGATAGTGGCTAGCAGTGGAATCCAGGACACGCATTTTGTCCTAGTGGCTAGTGGGACACAGTGGCTAAATGGATAACTCGATGGCGTCTGAAGCAAACGATACTGGGTTTAAGTCCTAGGATGTAGGTACATCTAGCTGACGTGTCCCAAATAAGATGAAACATGCATCCTAGCCATTATCCATCTTTGCTTATAATAATTAATTAATTTTTGACTCCATTGAGTTTTTTTATTTTGAAAATTCAATTTTTCATCGTTTACATCAATTTTTATGCGGGTAGTATTATAGCATCTTCATCTGGATTTGAGTTGGTTACGAGACTATGATTTATGGATGAAATGATGAAATTAATGATATCAAGTCTTGGATTTCGGACCGAAGTTTGAGATTAAGATTTTGAAACTAGTTGGAAGTGGTCAGGAATTCATACCTACAATTTTAAGGAAATCGATACTCCCAGTTGATTTCAAACCACCCATCACTCAGGCTCACAAACTGTAACGTTACCACTGAGCTGCTTTAGCCTTGTGACATGTTTGCTGATAGACTGAAATACTTTGATTCTTGATAACGACTTCATCAAAGGATTGTACCCGACAACTTCAGTTCCACAGTGAACATCTACCTATTCAAACCACTGGTTTAGGATCCAATGGTACAATTTCAACTGTGAATAATTTATGATATTTCACCAAGATGAACACCATATTCATATAAGTGGTTACTTCAATGGCGGTAATATAAAAGAAAGATTGCATATAGTGATATAATACATGAAGAAAGAATTAGTTTGTAGAAAGAAAGATACAAAGCAATTTTTATCTCACAGTTTAAGGGAAGACAAAGAATGTATGCACCGACGCAACTGTGATCTATTCTGAGCTATATCACCCAGTCTTCAACCACTAGTTACGATAGTCACACAGACCCTAACCAAATAGTCTACACCAAACAAAATGGTTAAGACTAGAAGTATGTGACTTCAAGCACTGATTGCACGTTTTGGTTTGACCACCCCAAACTTTCTCCCACCCGCCTTCAACACTAGTCAGCATTGCGCACCGTGGTAACCGATGTTCAGGCACACGTAACATCTGGCTCAACCATCTTAGCCTATGTAGAATTACAACCTCACCAACTGATTAACCATCATTCCCTAGTACCCTGCGTCTAAACTCACTATTACGTACCCGGTGATCCTAGCAAGTAGGAGCAATATTTCGAAGACATCTGTCATCAAATACTAGTAATTTCCGAGTATCTTCTACTTCTAATGGCCACGTTTCGCAGCCGTAAAGTAGAACAGAACGAGCTGTCGCGCAGTATACTCGTTTTTTAATTAATAGACGGATATCTCGCCTTCGTTATAGGTGACATTAATTTGCAAAATCCAAACGAACTTTTTGAATCCGTACAGAGATCTCGTCAGACACCAACCCATTAGGGCTGACAGACTTACAAGATAAGTGAAGTTGTCGACGCGTTCAACTACTTCACTCCCTATCCTTAGTTCAGGTGTTGACGCAGACCAGTCCTGAAGCAACAATTTGCATTTAGAGGGGGAGAAACATATCCCAAATATCCTGGCATTGTTACTCAGTGCTGCCAAAAGACTCTGCATTTTATCAGCGTCTTCGCCAAAATGCACTATGTCGTTACGTAAGTCGATAGATGGATCTCCTGGAAAGAGATCAGTGCCCAAACATTCAGTCAATGAGGTGTTATTTCCATCTGTATGTCTATAATGAAGTTGAACCAAAATGGATATAGTGGACAACTTTGTTGGGCACTACTTCAGGTCGCAAAATCAGATGACAGTTCCTGAATGTCTACCAAAAAATGATAGTTATTCTTGACTTTAAAGCAGCATTTGACTCTTTAGACTGAAAGGTTCTGTAGGAGTGTCTGCCCTCGCAAGGTGTACTTTAGAAGTACATAAACCTTGTGAAGTCTCTTTACTCGAACACTACTAGTTGAGTCTGAGCTTATGGTGAACTGTCATCTGATTTTGTAACCTGAAGTAATGCCCAACAAAGTTGTCCACTATATCCATTTTAATTCAACTTCAGATGGAAATAACACCTCGTTGACTAAATTTTCGGGTATATAAAATGGTAAACAATCACAATTCCGACTGATGAATTAATGATTGAATTAATATTTAATTTACTCATACCTTGGCCGATTATTTTTTTTTCATTCATCAAATAATAAATGTTACAATATTTGGTTGTTTATTTATTTATTTATTATATTCAATTACTACACGTCTTAATTCTAGTTTTAGGATGATGAAAAAAAAGGAGAATAATTTTATTTCATTGTTTATAACAATATTGATTTGTATGTGTGTGAGTGTGTGTGTGTGTGTCTGAGTGAGTGAGTGAGTGAGTGAGTGTTGTGTAAATGATCTCATGTAATGTTGCTATGTGTAAATATTGACGGCCTAAAACCAAAAATTATACATATCGGAACATTCGGTTTTAATTCTGTTTTTTTATGTTTTTCATTTAATTAATGTCATTATTTAATGAAGGAAAATGGTTTGTAGAGATTAGTTTTCGATGATTTTTATCACCATAGATTA